TTTTCCAACCTGAATTGTTCTATGATTATATCCCATAATGTTACTCCAAACTGTTCTCTGTTTCATGAGCCATTTGCTGGTCTTGACTTGGAGAAATTAAAGGATTCAGTCACACCAAATTTGAAGTGTCGTCTAGCTTTCCTTTACTCTGTCCCTTGCTCCAATTGTAGCTGAGTAGCTGCAGGTAAAATGTTAGAAGGAAGTGCAGAATGCTATATTTTACCCTGCTTGTTTTTGTAAAGGTGTTATTTTTAATTCATCTTTTTAGGACTGCTTCACAAAAAAAATAGTCTTGCCAGATATTGTAAAAGCACTGTAAATGCAGTGTTAGCACTTAATAGCAGGAATATAATAATTTTAATTTTTAAAATTTCAGAAATCAGAACTGTCCAAGTTCTCTGTCATAACTTTAGAGCTTTTGTTATTTAAATATTCACTATGTTTGCTTGTGTTGAAACTAAACAGAGAACTGTTTAAGCCTCACTGATACAGAATTACATCTGTGCAATTCTCCTAAAATATGTTTTTCTGGACATGACATTACTCATGTATTTTATATAAATCCATTTTACTATTCTTAGTATGTACACGAATAAATTCTTATGAACCCTTTTTATGAAAATCTTATCTCAATCTTGTACACAGTACAATGCAATTGGAAAAGATTATAAAATTTCTCCCAAGATGTATATTGTAAGCTGGTGGGGCAAGTGAGGCTTAATTTCAGTCTCAATTTATAGTTCGTCATTCCAGACTTCTTTGCTTCTGACAAATTAATATTTCCTATATTATCAGCAGTGTCCTGTTATATAGCAAGAAAAAGTAAGAATATTAGGGATACATACTAATATTAATGCAGTAAGAATATAATTTTTCCCTCAGCCATGTTGAGGATGTCAGAAGATCATGTGCTTCCAGAACTGAACAAGGTAGTAGTAACGTTTTCTAATAAATGGTGGTATACTTCATATTCGGCGTGACTAGAGTGCAAGATTAAAGCTTTATTTTTGTTCCAAAACTTAAAGGATATCCATGTCATTTCTCTGAGAAAGCTGATGCCTGTAGATTCACACTTGCACAAATTACTCTTTCTGTTTTCTTTGTTAATACTACTCTTCTTAGTACGCTGTGTTTGAATGGGAGACCTCTGGATGTAGCAGCTCTTTATATGCCCTGAACGACTTAAGTTAACAGAAATGGGATTTCAGGATAGGACACACCTCCATCAGATTTCCAGACACCCTCGTACTAGGTGGGCCAGTTAATAGATTGGAGGGCAGAGGTACCTTACAGAGAAAAAATGGGTGGGCTGGAGGACTGGACAAATAGGGACCTCCTGAAGCAGAAGCAAGGACAAATGCAAGGGTAACCCCCTGGCATTGCGTGGCACGGCCACAACTGGCCAGGGAAGGGCTGGGCTGGGCTGGGGCATTGCTGGGCTGGGCTTGGGGATTGCTGGGCTGGGCTGGGGGATGTCAGTGGATGCAAGCTGGTGTACCCTCGCAGCAAACGCAGCCAAGAGCAGCCAGGGCTGTACTAAAAGGAGGGTGGCCAGGAGGTGAAGCGAGCTAGTGACCGTCCACTTGTCACATCCGGAACACTTTTTCCAGTGCAGGGCCCACCTATACAAGAGGGACATGAATAGACTGGAGTGAGCTCCACAGAGGGCTCCTGAGCAGATTGGGGCTGCAGCAGTTGCCCTCTGAAGACAAGCCTGAGGGAGCTGCACATGTTCAGCCTGCAGAACGTGTTCTGTGCTCAGTGAAATGTATTTCTCATCCTTTGCTTTGCTCAGTCTTTGTTTGTTTTTTTCCCTTTTAGATGACTCAAAAAGATATCACATTTGTTGCTGATTTTCTTACTGAACACTTCAATGAGGTAAGTTAAATTGGTTTGCAAATTACAGCATTTGACTGTATTTTTGCTCCCCAAACACCTGAAAAATCGTATAATAAAGTAATTCAATCATCTTTTTCTACACAGCTACTTTGGGTTGAAATAATGGGTTTATTTGCATTATTTTTTCAGGCACCAGAACTTTATAATCGTAAAGGAAAATACTTTAACGTGGAGAGAGTTGGCCAGGTAAAGAACAGGGGAGTACATGGAAAAAAGAATAAATGACATGATCCTTAAATGGAGAAGCTTTTAAAGCTGTGTCCCCTTCTCTGTCCATTTTGCCCTGTGTTGCGTATTCCAGTAATTGTAAAGGAGACTATTTTAACCGTTCTCCAGAATTACTAGGAAAAGGAGTGTTGAAAAACATAATTTTAGTTTATACTCACTGTATTTTTAGGAAAAAGATGAAACTTTTTTACGGCTAGCAATAATATTGTAAAACTGAAATGTGATTGTTGTCTTTATGCTATTAATCACTGGATTTCAAAACATTTTTGCTCAAACTTGATTTAAAAGTCAGTTTCTTATACTGTTATCTGATCTTGGGCAATAGTTGATTTTTCTTACTGTTTAACATACTCGTGAGGGGTAATGTTGGAGGTGAATTTTTATGTCCCTTATCCTTAAAATGCAATTTTACAAGTGTCTGCTTCTTTTCTAGTACTTGAAAGATGAAGATGATGACCTTGTATCACCACCTAATACAGAGGGAAACCAATGGTTTAACTTTCTTAAAAATAGTACTCATCTTAAAGGTAACGTGGGCTTTAGTAAAAAACAAAAGTGAACCAAAGATATATGTAGAATGTAACAAATTTAGAAATCTGGTTTTTTATGCTTAAAAGTTATTTCTGTAATGTTAGTCATCTGAGTAGAATAAAATAAAAGGGCCACAGTTTTTATGTAGCTACTTGCCCAGCCAGTTACCTTTTTTCTGGGTATTCGGAGTTTCCTGCCTTTTATTTGCCAGTCTCAGAAATTTTGGCTTGGAAGAAATCCCAGGAAGTGTCTGTTTTAGGAGATCATTATTCTAGTTCAAAGAAGTAATAATTACTCTTAGGTCACACCTGGGGGAAGTGTCCTGACTTGCTCTCTTTCACTGTTCTCTTTTACTTTGTTAATTAATGCCGAAAAAGAAATAAGAGACTATAACAGGCTGATGGTGAAAATTTTTCTCATTTAACTTTAAAAACCATAGGCTATAAAAATCCTACAACATAATCTGTCTTGTAATAGAATTTGCTATAGCTGGTTTTTTTTCTGCCCATTTAATTCAATAAAAAGAGGGGAAGTGGTAGCATTTTCATTTGGAAAGGTAGTATTTGGAAAATGTAGTGTAGTTTAAAAGTCTACACTTTTAAAGTATCAAATATATTTTCAAAGGATGTCTAAAAGTACATACCACTATATTGATAGAAATCATAAAAATACGACCACTATATTGACCCTCCTAATAAGTGCAGTATGTTTTTATAGAGATACATTTTTTTAAATTAACTTTACCTCTTTACAGAAAGTCCACTTCTGTTTCCCTACTATCCTGAGAAGTCTCTGCATTTTGTCAAAAGGCAAATGGAAGCGGTAATTGACCAGTGTTTACAAAAGCCAGCGGTAAGTTCTGTTTATATAAATGATGACTTTTTTAGGGGTAGCAGTCAACTGAAGATAGTAGTCATGCTTAGTTAGGTCTGAAGTTTTAATCTGTGCCTTTGAGTGCCTACAGCTTAAGTGGGAGCGTGTAGCCCAGCTTCACCACTGCCAGGATGTCTCAAGCCATTAACTAGGGAGAGCCTAATGGGGGGGGATGTTTTTGTTTCACACCTTCTTTCCCGCATTATTTGGATCTGTTTTTAATGTTAATTAGCTAAATGTATGCACTGTATACTAGATTACTGTGTTAGTTGGCAATACATTAGTTTATATATTATGAAGTAACATGAAACAAGTGTATCAAGTGACATCATGTTTGCATTAGGGATATTCCAGCATATTGGTGGGTTTTTGTGTGATGTAGTTGGGTGATGTGGGTTGGGTGGATTTTTTTGTCTGAGAAGCATGTGTAATTATGAGTAACTCCTTGCATTTTTAGCCTATTTGCATTATATTTATCAGGATGTAATTGGAAAGTCAGTGCATCAAGCAGTCTGCATGTCTCTTTACAAAACTTCTCAAAGGTATTTCTTTACACTATATCTAAAGCTCAGTTGCACAAAATTGCCGTAGCATTTTGTAAACTGGTTTGTTTTTTCCTTTTCAGTGAAGATTCCACACCTCAGTTATTTAAACTACCATTCCTGTAAGTATGCTGCTATTCCTTGTTCTCTGGCATTTTGCAGTTATTAGAACTTGATCTAAATTTTCATTTCCTCCCCCCATATTACAGGTGGAATGACAAAACATCCAGTATACATTATGTTCTCTTCACTATATTAGAAGATTCTATTTCTAAAATATACATTTTGAGGAGACATACTGATACTTCCAGGTAAGAGAAGAAGAGGGGAGAAAGATGTTTGTGAGCATATGTGCAGGTAATTGCAATTTGAATCTGTTTGTAGAAAAAGAGAATGAGTAGCATGAATGGGCTTCTGTGCCCAAGATAGTTTGTCACTGCCTAGTTGTGCTGATAGAACTGTTTAAGATGCATTCTGTCAGTGGGATCACTGAAATTACCTGAGTTTAGAAAATAACAAAAACTCCTCCTCTCTGTAAAATACTCATTTTTGTAATCTCTCTCATTTAATTTGAGGACATAACGAACTGTGGTACGGGTGGGAATTTTTAAAGCAGTTTTACTGCTGAAGAAAACACATGGTGAAACTATCTATTGTATTTCCAATTGAGAGCTGGAAATTACAGCCTCGTGGTATAGTTCCTGTCCTGTTTCCTCCCTCTTTGACACCTAAACCAGTTTAAACTTATTTTCTTTAAATTTGAGTAACAAGTGACTCAATGGACTTGAGACTATGAGAGTTGAGCCAAGAGTTCAGCAAAGAACAACTGTACCCCACAAGCCAGACACGGTTTGCCCATTTGACTCTGTTAGTAACGTTTTCCTGAGGGGCAGCAGAAATCAAAGGGGTTCCCATCCACCAGTTAACGTCACTTTGGGATGTAGGTGTGTATTGTTCTAAGCTTGGACAGGCTTACACTATCTCTTCTCACACTTGCCATTAGAAATTTTGGATTCTCTATGAATGAGAAAGAAATCAGTCACTGAGATAATGAACATTGTTCTTCTAGGTCTGTCAGTAATGGAATTGTTGCAGTAGAGTTTGGAAACTTCTTGAACAACAGTATGAATGAGAGCTCAGATTCCAGGTCAGTATATTTGTTTTGTTTTGTTTTTTTTCTTCCAGAGTTGCAGATTGCTAAATTGAAGACCATGTTTTCTAGAGTTTAGTTTATGTTAACTCCTCAGGCGTTACAGTTTGGCTTTTGCCCTGCAACAGGCACTGGACCAGCTTGTAGTCCCTGGAAGAGTCAGTCAGGCTGTAAGAAATGGCAGAGGTGCATGAAGCTGCAGGGTTGTGGGAGACTTAATTTGCGCTTCATCTCAAGGTCAAGTAAATTTTAGTTTTCTAGTTGAAAGCTAGAGCTTTTGCACACAGGTAAAGAACAAAGCTACCTGGAAAGAGCTGCTGCTTATATCTGTGATATTCTTTAAGTAAGACAGAGTGAAGTTTGATATGCCTGAATCTTAGAAGGCATCTTGCAGGGTGTGGCAGACTAAGCTCGGTGTGATTGCCCTCAGTACCTTCAGTTGTGTTTCTAAATTTTCTTTGATGTTTGATTTTACTGATTCTTATCTTTTCACCTGAAATGGGGAAAAAATAATGTTGCTATTAAGTTGTGATTTGGGGTTTTTTGCCTTGAGAGTCATTTTTCCTGTGTGATACAAGAGGGACGTGATTATGGCTGTCTTTTAGTGTCTTAGCTGCATGACTGACATTTTTTATCTTTTACAGCGAAGTTCAGTGTTAACTACTGAATACTTTTTAACATGAATGCTGTGCAACTTAAAAATATTTTAGTTCTGTATTCACTTTTATTCCTTGATGCTTTCTGAATTATTTTCCTGTAGGTGCTACAGTTGTTTAGATGCACACTTTTATGATGATGAAACTGTAACTGTAGTTCTGAAGGAGAGCGTGGAACAAGAGGGGAAGGAGAGAGTCTTGGCTCAGCTGCCTTTATCTTCAGTATACACAGATGAGGACCAAGATAGGGAGTTAATCTGGGATTCTACTAAAAGGTACTGAAGAACTTCAAGCAAGTCTGAAAATGCAGAACAGAAAAGCAGATTAAGCAAATACTCAAATTGTGTACAGTTACTCACTTTCTATATGTGTGTGTGCATATAAATATTTTAAAGACAAAAACCTTTTTCGTGCCAGGAAAAGTGGAGTGGAGAGATGGAAGTTTCCTAAACAGTTGTTTTAGTGGTTTTTGAGGGTTGGGCTTGGTTTTGTTCTTTTTGAAACTGAATACTACCCATGTATGTGGCTCTCATGAAAAGGGAGGACTAATTGAAGACGATCCTGTAGAATCAAAAAGTCTTCTCTTCTTTAGAGGAGACTAACTTTGCTGATCAGAATACTTAAATTTTTCGAATGTGTTCAGCATATTTGCTCATATACCTCTGCCTTGTAATAATGATACACAAATAGTTCTTTGTCTTTCCCCTGGTGGTCACACTTGCAACTATTGTCAGCTTAGCCTCTGAAGCATTAGAATTGGTGCCTCTCTATTGGCACAGGGAGAGGAGAGTGTCTGGGGGAAGTGTACACACACACACAATGAAACCAATCTTTTAGTTGTGCCTCACTTGCTTTTTTGTTTTTCTCCCTGTGGTGGATTGCTTAAGATACATTTTTACTTCAAAAAAAAAAGAGGCACACTCAACCATAAGTAGGTTTTTTTTTTACGCCACAAAGAAATTGTGTATTGAAGAATGACCAGAAAATATCGAAAGTATATTCAGACTAATCCTGGCCACTGTAGTAGGGGGGCAGTTACTTCATAAGTGGAGCTGAACTCGAGTGATACGTCTTTGAAAGGCCATGGAGGCCAAGCTTCTCTCTAAGTGGAGTCATTGCCTCCAGAAACTCTTCTTGCAGAGGAGAAGTTTGAGGGAAGGCCATCCTCATTCTTATGCTGTAGCCATTACCTGTGGGTAGATCAGGTTTTATGATTCCCTTTTTGCCTCCTGTGATCTTTTCTCTCAGCTGAACCATGCTGTGGATCCCCCGCTCTAGAACATCTGTGGCAGCGTTATGGTTTTAAAACCTTATCTGCTTGTTACATATGTTGCAGTAAAACTTAGATATAGAAAAATCTGGACCAACTGTGTTTTTTCTTAGTACTGGAATTGTTTCTTCTGGTATTAGCTTTGTGCTTTTCTTCTTGCTGTGTGCAGGCTGGATGAGCAAAGTGGTGAGATACCCACACGTACTGTCTTCTTGGAGAGTCAGTGGAGAGTGCTGGAGAACATGAAAGCTCAGTATGTTTCCGTAAATGGTATTAGGAAAGTTTCCTGTGTGGTAAGTACGGTACCTGTGAACAAGACTGTGAACTATTAGAGGGGATACAGTCCTATCTCTTTTGTAACACAACATGGGAAAACTTTAACAGAAGTTAATAGATCTACTTGCTTTATGTTTCAGCTTGCAGAGCAATAAAAAAGTTGCTAATTTCCTTGGTACCTTCGTTTCAAAGATAAAGGCTATTTTCAAAGCTATTGGCTGACATTTAAAATGATATTGGTGCTCTTTATTTGTTTATTAATTGAAACTTCTTAATGTTTCCATAGCTAAGCTCAAATCTCCGTCACGTGAGGGTGTTTGAGATGGATGTAGAAGATGATGGGGAAGTCGAGGAAGAAGAGGAAGAAGAAACAACTCAGATTGCAGCTGGGGAACCTGATGAGCTAAAGCAGTCTGCAGATAACCAGGACAATGTGTGTGGTGCATCTGCTGAAGAACTGCCTGATGAAACTGAAGAACATGAATCCAGCCTGGATGCTTGACATAGGGACGAGACTGTAATGTAGCTTCAGGCTGCTGAGGTGACGTACCCTGTACATACTCAGGCAGCTGTAGTAGGATGCTGTGTGTCAGAATTCTCTTATCGCTTCTCAGCTGAGGCTGTGTTCTAGGCTACGTTTATTGGACCGTTTTTTGTCTGGCACATGGTTTGATATGAACTACATTTCCTTGAAAGCTTTTTGATTTGAGGTTTTTTTAATAGATACAGGAGAAAAAGAAACACCACTTGACATTTTTGTTGTAGTGGACCTGTGCAGTCCTGAATGCCATTACTAATGTGAAAACTACAAAGTTCTGACTGAATTCTTTTCTCCACAGGCTTTGTGTTCTAGTAATGGGTACAGAAGGTTCTTGTAGGGCTGAAACCTAAACGTTAGGCCAACAAGAAGCTTGCAGATCGGCATAAGACTAATTAGACAACAGAATTTAGCAATTGTTACTTAAATACATAGTCATAAAAACCTGATAACATCTGACCTCAGTAACACAGTATTTCAGGCTGTGCAGTTCTTTAGTCCTCAGTGCAGCTATTGTGTGTGCGCGCGTGCATGTGCGTTTTTTGTCAAACGTTTGCGTGTCTCAGCCTGTCTAGTTTCTGTGAGGTTGTTCCTGAAAGTCTGTCTTCTCCATCTGGTATTTTTGTAATGAGAAGTTACAACAGAGAGTATATTTTTGTATTCTGATGTGGCATTTCATGTCGTACATAGACTTCAGCATAATCTTATTGCTTGCAAATTTATATATTGCTGTAGGAAGGATGTCATGCTAAGCAATAGAAGCTAGAAATAATGTTTAGAAATCTAAAATGTTTTCTTCTTCCCTACTAGCTGTCACAGTTTCAACTGACTTAAACTCAGCTCTTTGAATGAACAATGCTGCTAAATGTGCCCGATCTGCCTTCAGAACAATGACTGTACCTTGTATATGTGAAGAGGACCAGGTCTTACACATGTGCTCCATTCTGTACTTCAAAAATTAATAAATCATCTAAAATTGCTGTTTGGCGTTGCACATATCCAATACTAGACTTACCCTCTTGTTTTGAAATACATTATTTTTAAATTACTGTTTTTTAAAGTGGACTTTTGAAGTTTTTCGACTTGTTTGGGGGACACTCTTGTAAAGAAAACTCTAGTTTTGAGAGAGACTTCCTATTTTTTCCCTTCTGCACCAACCTCCTTGAAAGCTATTTGCTGCTCAGCATTCTTATGTAACAAATGCTAATGGTTGGAGGCACAGAAATGAATGTCCATTCAAAAGTGCTGTGAATTTTCTGTGTAGAGCAGTTAATCTTGATAAGAAAATGCTGCAACAACAGAACCCACTCAGCTTGAGCCTGGTCTTGTGTTCTTCCTGGAAGCTTTTGCTTCTGATCTAGTTTTTCCGAATGGTCATGCAACAGTGCTTGGAAACAATTGTTCTGCTGTGCTTTCTCCTCAGTAGTTTTAGCCCGTGGGCGTATGGAAATCTGCTCTGTCCTGACCATAATTGTTTCTAAATTTGTGTTAATAGCAGGGGTGTCCTGTGCCATGGGCACGCCCTTCAGAAATCTCCCTGAGGTTATTCTGTGCATCCTCCTAGGCCGGTCTTGGATGTGTTTGGGTCAACGGGAGTTTGGGTTTTGGCTTGGATGAGCACACGTACGCTTTCTGCTTTTCATAGTGAGATGAAATGAATGCACCAGTTTAAGTCAGTGCTTCTGAATGCATTGCTGCTTCCTTCTGTCAAACATTTTTATTTTGCTACCAGATTTCTGTAATAAGCATGTTAATGACATGCTTCTGCGTCTGTTCTCAAAAAGATGATGGGAAATACCTGATCCAGATTTATTAAGGATTTTAGTGGTGTCTGGACACGGTGATCTCACTTGCCATTTTGATCTCTTCATCCTATTTTTATGGTAACTGAAGGCCCATTCAGCCTTCTTCTGTGGGGAGTTGTCATTCTTTCTTGATAGGTTAGTAGTCAAAAGAACTGTGGAGGAACTAAAGAAAAAAACACCACCTCTGCAAGAAGAGAAGAAATGCCACTTGTAGGTGAATAAAATGTGTTTAGCCATATCTTTAGGTGAAGTAGTAGAACTGCTAATCAGTCTGGAGATCGTTTATGCCAGCAAAGTCCAGGGTTGAAGTAAGTTATAATGGGATATAAATGTAGTTAGTGTGGGTGTTCTGGCTTTTCTTCCTCAGGTGTTATTACATGATTACTGCTCCTGGCTTTCACTTTTACAGCCCTGCTGGCAGATGTGTGCAAATTATGGAATCCTACGTGTTTCTGTGAATCTTGTGTGTTTTTATGCAGTATTCACACTTAACGTAGAGGATAAAGAATCCTATCAGGTTTAGTTCTTAAAGTTCTCACCAGGAGCCCTGCCTCCTACAATGAACCTATTCTAAGAGGAAAAGAAAAGAACTGTTTATGGCCTAGTATAGAAAATAAAAGATTCTGTTTTCAAATCCATACTCTTACTGTCATACAAAAGGTCTGGCAGTCCAGTGTCAGGAGAGCTGTTGCAGGTTGGGCCTGGTGATGGTTCTCTCAGTATGTCACTGAATCCGTTCCGCTGTGAACAAATCAGTTGTTTGTGTGCTTAACTGTGAAGTGTTTGATTCTACAGTCTGGTGATGAGAGTATGTGCTAGCCACATGAGAAGGTGAGGTTCAAGGCTTTCTTCCAAAGGGACCAGAAAATAGGACTTGAAAAAACCAAACACCTCTTTGTCTCAACCTAGTGATTCCTTTACAGATAGAGAGGTGCAGTCATTTGTCCCTGTTTTTGTTTTTGGTTTTTTTTCCTTAAATTAGCTATTAAAATAAAGTCTTAAGAGATTAATTTTGCTTCATGTAATTCTCAAGAGAATTCACATATCAATTCTGTAATGAAGATGAAGATTTGCCCTCAGGTGCACCGAAAATCGTTCTCTTAAACAACCACTACAGATAAAACCCATGGGGGCAAAGGTAAGGAATTTGTTCATCTGGTCACATATTTATTTCAGACTGTTGAGGTAACCTACAGGTTCCTGAGGATAGCACAAAAACCAGTGCTTTCAAATGTTGCAAGAATTTGATGAACAATAAACTTTTGTTCTTTCCGTTTGTTGAATTATAACTGTGTTTTCTTTCCTGTGGAATCGTACTAGACTAGAAGCAAATGGACAATGCTTTTTGCTTTCTCTCCTGGTATTTCTGATGTCTCCTCTCTTGCAGGTAGTGTGTACTAGGCTGTGTGCTCCAGCTGCTTAACTCGTGTTCAGAATACTGACATGCAGAAGGAGGATGGAAAGCATCAGTGGTTTCCAGATAATGTATATTAATTTTTTAGAGGTGATGTTATTTAGATCAGTTGCATGAAAAGCGACATAGATTTGCCCTAATTTCTAGTTATTTTATTTTTCTAAAAAGTATTATTAAGACAGGAAGATGAACGAGTGAGTAAAGCAGATGAGTTATGGATTTTTTCGTGGTACTTAAAAATAAGCATCTTCTCAATTAGTTTATTTTCTAGAACATTTTGCATTGTGTAGTAATCCCTTGACAGAGATAACATGGAATGCATATGGTTTTATTTGAAGACTGTTAAAGACTAGTATTGGAAGACAACTTATTTATAACCTACAGCCTAATTATGATTAGTTCATTTCTTGATTAAAATGCTGTGCGGTTCTGCTGGACACTGAAACAGTTTCTCTGCTTGGTTCTGCAGAGGGATTTAAGTTCTGTAGTTCTCTTTCCTGGGTCCTGGAATTCTGAAGAAGTGCAATAGATATGTTAAAACTGGTATGAATGGAATGCCTGGAAGTTGGAGGTACCAGAAGGAACAATAGCAGCAGCAGGGCTATAAGAATGGCATGTGTTGAAGTCACTCAGATTAGCAGGTCGTCAAAATTCTAGCAGGTGGTAAAGAGGTGAAAGACCTGAGCAAATGAGAAAATCCTGATGACTCCTGGAGGCAGGACAAGATGGACAGACTGATATTGACAGTTTCTGTAGGGTACAAACAGACTTATCCAAAACCAGCAGAGGGTTGCCTATCAAGAGCCTGAAGTGGTTAGAACTCAATAGCTGGTGTCCCTTTTTCTCTGCATCGCTACAGAGATTCCTAGACAGACCTTCTGAATTCAGGAATCTTGGCACCTGAATTTTGCATGGACTACTTGGACATACACATCCAGGTGCTTGTGAGTATGTGGATATGAGGGTGTGAGTGAATGAAATCAGTTTTGTTTGAAATTAAATTGGCTTCCTGTCTTACACTGCCTGGTTTATGGTTTGCTGTGGTTTTGCTGCAGTGTTGATTATGCAGGAAATAATGGCAAAGAGGATTGATGGATGTAGCCAAGTGTTTAGATTCAACGGATGGACTCAGTCTAAAGAGAGCATGAAGGGAAAGTGTAGAGGCTGCAAAGATTTCCAGCAATGTATCTGGTGAGATCGTTTTGGAAGACTTAAATGCCAGTCCAGAGTTTAGGGGTATGTTGATTTTTCTGTGGTATCTATCAATCATCTTGGTTTTGTAAATGTAACTTAAAAGCAAATTGCTCTGGGCAAAATTCCATTTTTGATTATACCTGTAAAAAAAGTCACTGAATGCTCCTGGACACAATTAAAAGCAGAATTTTTTGTTACAGTCCTACTATGTTTAAGGCAACAGTTAGAGCTAACCTACTTCCTGGTCTGGTTTCTCACCAGAACGTAGGACAGAGATTGTACATGTTGTGATCATACAAGGTCAATGGTATCATGTCTTGCAATAAATGGATAAAAAGAGTTCCTTGTACTTAGTATTGCCAAACTACAGTAAAAAAAGATATAAACCAGCAGAGTTGAGTGCTTCCTGATTTTATAAAGACACTGATGTTCCTACAATGCTGCCCTACAAGTGACCACCAAGGCTTTCAGTTTTCCAACTATACATTTCACTTCTACCTATGGTCTAAGTTGAAGCTCCCTGCTTAGTAGATAAGTCTCAGGGTTGATAT